TCGGCATCTGAAGTTATCTTAAAAGGCCTCCGATCCGCACTTGTCTGCTGCCTGGTGTGCAGGCGGTGGATGCGCTGTGTGACTTCATTCAGATGACCCTGTTTCAACCCACCTCCAGCCCCTCCTCCACCATCGTAGCTAAAACTTCATCAGAATGTCATTCCTCCCGGACTCTTACTGCATTCCGCGTCTAATTTCAACCGGTCCAGCAGAAGACCACCATGTTTGGCCTGGTTTTGCCAGAGGTTTCTTCCCAATGGGGAGTTTTTCCTCTCCACTGTCGCTTCATGCTTGTTCATCATGGACAGGTTTTCTCAACCTGTGCTATCCAACTGGACTTCCATCTTCCAGGTCCCTGAGTGAAGCTCTAGTATAAGCTCATGCAATCCACTGGATCTCCCTATAAAGCTGTGCGTCAGCGTCTCACTAACAGCAGTCTACAGACTGACCAACTTCATTTATCTCCACTCCACCACCAGTTTCAGGCCTGGGAGGAAACAACCCTATTCTTTACTCCTGTTCATGCATATCTCTTAAAATTCAGCACTATATTTCCTGCCGAGGTCTGAGAGCCAAACACCAAGTAATTGTATCAATACATTTCTTCTAATTGTGTTTTCTCTTCGTGAAAGTTTTTCAGATTTAAATAGGGACGAGCACGTAGGACGGGCTTACGTAAACATATCACCAGAATGATTGACAATCAGGAGGACCACTTATTTTGATGATCCACCCGGAAAAAGAAAATCCTCAACTATACCTATAATTCAAAATTGTTTTACATTCTTGATATAATGACTGCTCTAAGTGGGGTTGCTCTGTCATCTAAAGGTCTCTATACTCCAGTTAACCATTCATCTATTACTAAACCAGTTGACGATTATTTCAGTAATGGATTATTCACAAATAATCCAATTAATTGTTTCAGCCCTAATTGTATTTTTATTTTAACGTTTTAATGGTCAATGTGTTAATTCGATAGCAGGGACAACATCCAGGTGAAATGCATACAACAGAACCTTAATCTAGAGGCATTTGGAGGAAAATAAACCAAAAACATCAAGAAGACTGTAGAATTATTACTGTAACTTTATTAGTTTGTCAATTTAAAACAACAAGTGTAAGTTATTGTATAGAACAGAATCTGATTTTAGTTTGTGGGTTCTTAAAATTTTAGTGTAAAAGTAGTTCAAGGACTTTTATAATATAATACGTTTTAAATCACACATGAACCATCAGTCACTCTGTTCACTTCAGAAATGTTTAGCAGCACAAAAGAGTCTAAATTTAAATTTGATTTTAGTTGACACTTACATGGAGTAAAAATTGATTGACAGCATTTAATTGTTAAGTAAAGTAGTGTACCTTTAAAACGATTATTGATATTATGAAGTAATGTCGTCTGTACCATCTAAAAACTGGTGTGGCATTTCTAAAGAAAAATTATCCAGGCAACATTCAATCTGTGAACCTTCTTATTATACAAGTATTATTATACAGTAGCTCAGCCCCTTGAAAATTCTGTCTGTCTATCAAGTTTACTGCCCTTACTTTGTCCTTACATTATGCAGATTTTGCAGTAGACAGCAATATGAAAAAACATTTTAGCCCCTCCAGCCGGTCATGTAATCCTGCCAAGTCATCCTGCGAAAACCAAAATGCTCTAAAACATTCTACATCTCAGTGCTTCCTGTTTAGTTGCAGTTACTGAATCATTAATGCTCTCCCTCTCCATCACAAATCAATTTTGCAATCAGTTATTTAGGCAGCAAATTAAACTGTAATCCGTCAGACTGGCTTCTCCATGGATTCCTCGGGCGTCTGTTAGTCTGCCAGTAATCGTCTCATATTTGTGGCTAACACAGATCATAGATGTGCTTTTTAGAGTTTTAATGGAGGTTCTTAATGAGTCAGAGGCAAAGTAGTGTCTACGTAAGGTAGTGGGCACAAGAATAAGAACTTCGCTCACACAAGAGCATGCATGTACTCAGTAACAGAAAGTCTGAATTGCTAATAAATACAGATACAGTCATTGTATTGGTCACTAATTTACTCAAGATCAAGGAACAAATCAATTGAATCTAAAGAATAATTTATATCTGTAATGACAATATCACAATTTCTAAAAGAATTTTTACAATGTACAACAAAGTCACACAAAATATTTCGCATAAAGAAAAGGACCTTGGGTAACAGACCAGAGGCTAAACTAAATAAACAGATAAGTAAAGAGCTGCTTTGTTTGGAAACAGGGACATATAGATTCAAACACCCCTTTGTGTGTGGGATTCCTTTCGAATTAGTGAGTCGATGCAATCAGCTGGTTTTCCTTAGATAGAAAACATTGAACCTATCTAACTAGATGATCTGATTGGCTTGTCTCTGTAAAGAGCCTTGAGATGACATGTATTGTGAATCGGCGTTATATGAACCCACTAATTTGAATTGAAAGGACATATATTAAAACAAATTTTAGAAATAATCTCTCATAGATTTTAGTCCATATCAATATTTTATTATCATCACAGCCCCATACAGGTAATGCAGTTATGTTGGCCGTACATCTGTGATGCAAGTCCCCCGTTCCAGTACACCTCAAAGGTTTTCTAAAGGTTTTCTAGCGGATGATGGCAGAGGCCATTTAGACCACGTAAGGTGGTGCATCTTCTTCATGGAAGTAGCTTTCAGAACAAGAGTACACTGGTTGCAAATGTGTGGATATTTTGTACTTAAGTAGGCTGTGGCCTTTAAGTAGGCTAATGCTAAGCCTCCACATAATGTCAAGAAAACATCCCCCAAGTCAACACCACCTACAAAAGCAACACTTTTGACTCTTATTTTTTTAGGCCTTCGAATGTAAACTATATTGCCCTTTGGCACTGCAGTATTTTCAATTCAATTCAGTTTATTTATATAGCAACAACTCACAACACACGTCATCCCAAGGCACTAAGTTCACCAGATCATACAGTCATATTGATTCAAAGTTTTCTATCTAAGGAAAACCAGTTGATTGTATCGACTCATTGACTCTAATCCCTCACATGAAGCATGCTTGTAGCGACAGTGGAGAGGAAAAACTCCCTTTTAACAGGAAGAAACCCTCAGCAGAACTAGGCTCAGTGTGAGCGACCTGCTGCTGAGGCCGACTGGGGTTCAAGGAGACAGAAGCAGACATATCTATATCTACATATCTACAGAAAGAAGCAAAGATACAAAAGGCAACTATAAAAGGCGGCCTCATCCAGGAAACACACAGCAAGGCAGACAAGTTTAGAGCCAGCTCCCATATCAGAGGATGAAAAGAGCACATCCAGCCAGTCAGTCAGAGAAACAAGACTACATGAAAAAAAGGCCAATCTCCAACATTTATAAACAAAGGTGTTGATGGCAGCAGCACAGCTGATATTTCTCTCTCAGGATGGTGTCAAAGCCAAATAGGAACAGATGAGGCAAAGCTGCTATGAGAAAAAGCAGAGAGAGCATAATGTTAGAGATTAAACTAACATATTCTGCAGAATAGGAGAATAGAGATAGAATGAAGCAGAATGATGAATAGGGGTCCCTATGTCCTCCAGCAGTCTAAGCCTATAGCAGCATAACTATAGAGATAGCTCAGGATAACCTTAGCCACTCTCACTATAAGCTTTATTAAAAAGGCAAGTTTTAAGCCTAGCCTTAAAAGTATACAGGGTGTCTGCCTCAC